CTGCGACGATGTGGCCGCAGCGATCGTCCCAAGCCCTATACCTTCCACTGTGCCCTTGGCTGATAAAGGACACCCCCTGTCCTCCATCCTGCTTCCTGTGCCGGCTGCTTAGAATCCCAAATGTCAGCGGATGGCTTAAGAAATGACAGCTGCCGCTGCATCTTGAATGTCCGCCGCCACATTCCGAGAAGTGTTGAAAAGGACGAAGTGACATTTGCAGCAAGGTTCTCTGAACATCCTCTTGTCTCCACCCACTGTGTTTCCACCATGCCATGTTTCCTGCCCTGCTGTGCCCATGAATCTACATAGGATACTAGTCTGCTTACCAGGCCAAACATCATGCTGTGTTTGACATTCATCATTTATTGATGGGCTGCTCTTCATTTGCAGCGGGAGAGTGCTTGGCTTCTCTGCTCTCACACTGGCTGATCCATGGGGAGGGCTCTCCCACTGAGGGCCCACATTTACTCGGCGTGCTGGGTGCACCGCTGTTGACTTATAATGGTTGTGACACACAAAGACTTGCAGGGTGTTTTTTTTTTAGTCCTCTTTCCATTTTGTGAGCATTTCACTCTCTGCTTACACTTCTTCTTCCATTCTTGCTCTAGAGGCAGAAATAAAATAATGGAAGCGGAGTGAAAGAGAGCTCATAAAGGGAGTGAAAGAGAGCTCATCAGAGCTTCTTAACCGGAATATGCAGCTGACTGCAACAAATCTACTGTACAGAGATGTGTTATGGGAAGGGAAATGCAGTGAAACCACAGTTTGTTTATCCACGTTTGTTGTGCATTTAAACATAACTCATCAAGATAGTCTGAACCCTGTCTTGTAAACCTAAACTAATCCTTTCATGTGTTTCATCCTGCAACCACTCACACAGGACTATATCCCCGTTCTCATATAATCTGAATCTGGCATGGGATTAATTTGCCTCCATATGCAGCTGCAGCTGGTTAATTTGAGCTGTAAGAGGGCAGTGATTGAGCTGTGATGGTCGCCATTTCTAATGAAAATCTAACATTTTCCTGTGACGTCAATGAAATGCTTTCTTACAGGGATACATGGCATGGCACAGGTAAAAGGCCTATACTGTATGTATACTGTATGTTCATGTGTGCAACTTCTTTTACTTATCCTTGGAAATGTGAGGAAGTAAACAAGTCCCCATTAGAATGATGGCATCTCACTTGTGAATCTGCTAACTGCTCTTGTCACAAAATATATCAAGTCGATTCTGTAGAACCAGCTGTGTGTTGAGTATATTGATTCTATGAACTCTCACACTGTCTAAAACCTACTCTCCATTTCTTCGCCGCATAGAAGATAAAATAAAGATTAGATAAAAATAGTTTATCTGTTTTACGATGTAAACCACGATTTGCAAGTTTCAGTAATAAATGAGGCAGCATCTCAGGCTGCTCTGATTGTTGCTGAACCCAGATGATATCCTGAGGACACATCAGTTGGGTAAACCTAAATTGATGCTGTGTCCCCACTGACAAGGTGACTAAACCCTCCAGCACTGGCTTGTTTCCCCCTCATTGCACATTTACAACACTTGTAACGCTTCAGTGACATGCCATTGCTGCAAAGACTAGAAAAATCGATTTGTGCAAGCGACTGTTGAGAGAGCAATACTCTGTCTGTTCCTGTTGTGCTGTAAAGTTGTTTCCCCCTGGCTTTCAAGATAGACAATAAACTGAAGGAAAACAAGGAATTCTCAGTCTTCTCATCTCCGGACACTTTGGACATATTTGTAAAACCTGGGTAAAACAGGAGGGTGATGTTGCTTTCAGAATAGGTTTTTCTTTGCCCTGAAGCTCTGTAGCTGAAAAACAGACATTGGGTTCAAGCCAGCCGGGTTGGACATCCTGGTTTACTTTTCACTCAGCCACACAGTGCACAACATACACAGTCCATCCTGTTCTTCAATGGCTTCATAAATCAGTTGATGCAAGAGTCAATTTCACCTTAATTTTCTGTATAGATATTCTAGAAAACCATTTTTAAAATCAATTTAAATGTTTGAAACAACCAAATAGTGACCTCTTTTTACCAGCATCACCTGAAGAGGTTAGAAATCAGTCAAACAATTTCAACAACTTAGGTTAAATTCTGGTTAAGTTGGAGAGTATCTGGTTAACTAGCTTTCAACGCAATGTTAAAGTTGTTTGTAATGAAAGTAGAACTGATAATTACTAAAAAACAGTCAAAGCTTGTAAAAACATTTTCTGATGTGAGAGGTTCATTTTTGGGCAAAACTTCACATAAAACAATGTGCAATGTGCAAATATTGGTTAAATAATGATGGAACAGTGTGTCATCAGAAATAATCAAACGTCTCTGAATTCATCCTGTTTTGATTGTGCACGATGTCATGATTAAGAATGTACAAAGGCTAAACATCCTACAGGGTAGAGTTTTATTTCCAAGTATTTGTCAATGCAGCTCTGATATGCCTGGATGACTAACTAGCCGGCAGACTAAAAGGTCTACTACCCCCATACAAACACATTTTTTAGGGCTTTTTACGCTGACAGATTTGCTATCGAGAGACTTTTTCCGGATCACATTTGGGGATTGGACATCTGCATGACTACCCTTAGCAACAAAGTGGCCATTATGTGCGCCAGTGGCAGTGCTCTACTTGCATTTCAATGTGAGGCATCTCCATTTTAAGCATCTCTAAGTCCATTTCATCCGAGCTGCTTAGCGGTTAATCAGCTGACAGAAACAGGGCAGAGGAAATGTACCCTTTTTTTCCAAGAAAATATTTCCCTGTTGTTCTGGCCTTGCAGCTGTGAGGTATAAATACAACAAGGGAAAAAAACTTTCGGCTGAATGACGAATTAACTGAGTGACATTAGTGACTGAACCAGATCTACAATGACAACGGGACCTGAACTGTACATTTTGCATGCCCACCTTCACGTCCCTTATTTCAACAACGATCTATGTTGCTGTGTCGTTTAAAACAGTTCTGTTTACACCTTAGCATGACTCAGTCTGCTGCAGTAGGATGTAGGATGGACATCTCATCTTACAGTGTTGTAACACTGGATCACAGATCTGGTACCCAGAAGCAGACTCGGGAGGCGGGACAGGTGTGTTTACTTGGCAACATCGAGCAACAAGAAAGGAGTCTGACCAGACAAATGAATCAGAAGGGGTAATAATGAGGAGGCGTAATGGTAATCAGACCAGGTACAGACGGAGAGAACACAATATGGTTGTGCCGGTTGTAAATGAGAAGCGGCTTTTGTAGATGTCCTGGGTCAGGTGACTGAGGCTGGAAACTCGGTACTGACGCCTGGTGGGCAGGTGTGGAATTGCATGTCTGAATTAATAAGTGGTTTGTATGCACAACAAACGTTAATCACATAAAGACATAAATTGGGGGGAAAAACACTGAGATACTTGTCACCATATGACAGGTCGCAATAGTAATCCACATTTACAATCGTAACTGATTGAAGACCACTATATTTGCTAAAATATTTTCTGTGTCAACAATAAAAAAGGGTTTTAAAGAAACAAATGGTAACGCTTCATTATAACGCCCCTGCTTAGCATTTATAAGCATTATATTGTAGTTGATACACAGAGCAGATAAAATAAGTTTAACCGAGCAAACAATTAACATTAAACAAGTAAATAAATAATCCCATATCTTTATTGTAAATACACTGACATCTTTGCCAATCACCACAGAAAAAGGTTGATCAGAGATGAATATTTATTGCAGCAGTGATGCCAGGACGGGCAGAGATTCAAGTGGGCTCTGAAAATGATTTATTATCTTCTGTTTTATAAAGTAAGAGACTCTCCTTCACATCGGCACATCAGAAAACATTCTCTAGAGATCAGTTACACCAAACCAAACTGCATGAAAAGGATGGTTTTTATTTTTAGAAAAACATCGAACCGTCCATGAGACAGCAACTATTCAAATGTTATTTGTAAAACAGCAGCTCAATATTGAATTATTATAGTAGGATGTAATCTGTATTTGCAGGAAACAATTGAAGACATTGTTTAGATGATATATGCTGACTCTGATTAAAGAGCTGCTCTCCTCTCTGTGGCACAAAGTAAACATCACAAAAGCTGCAGACTTATCGGACTGGAGTGGACGCCTCGAGGAAGAAGTGGTATTATTAGATTACCTGTGATGAAGTGAGTTAGATGTTTCCATCTGCCTGGTCGTTATGAGCTGCAGGTGCGTTCAGTTTCATCCGCATGTGCACTTCAACATGTGTGCAAACTTGTTTTTTAATGCATTCAATTTGCATCGTGAATATGTTATCTTCCGGGGAAATCCACAATTACCATCCACGGCAGCACGACTTTCTCCGAAATTTCACGCTTCCCTTCGTCTTCACGGGTCTAATTCGCCGTCCCCCTGCAACAACCTCGGTCTAATTGCATTTACTTGTTGGAGCAAATCCCATCTGGGAAACTTAATACACATTCTGAATTAATCGTCTTCTCTCCATTATGGATTGAGTCTAATTGCACCGCTGTTTTTCTATTTAACATATTCAGGTCATAAAAATACATAAATGGAAAGGCAGATCAATTAATATAAAGAGGAAGCAAGCTGGTGATCTGTTATGGCATTTTTACCCCACACCAAACCTCACAGTGCTAATGATTGGTTTGCAGATACAAAATAAACACAGAGGGATAAAAGCTAATGGTGCGTATTTAACAGTTAACAGTTTTCCATTTGAAGACACTAATGAAGCTTCTCCAAAGGGCAGGCTCAAACCAGTGAGGCGTACTAGCAACGGCTTGCTATTGTCAATAGATTACAAGCAGGTGAATAGATTAAAAATAAATGTATGGAAGGAGAATAGAATGCAGTTCTTAAAGTAGTAGTCTAAGGACATAATAAAGTGACAGCATCAGAAATGTCTTCCATCGTTCAGATCTTTCCAGATACAACCAATCGTCATTTCTTCACACTGTGGGAAGTGACATCACATGTTGACAGCATGGTTCAGGCACGCCTCCCTGGAAATAAGGAGAGAGGAGAGGGCACGAGATAAACCGTGGTACATTCGGAGGCATTCGTTGGACTGGCATGGCTGTGTGCTGCTCAGCACTGCGATCTACATCCATGAGGCTCCTGCCTGGACATTTGCATTCCCTCTGCACGGCAACACAGCCTTGATACGGCGCTGGACAGAGCGACGTCGAGCCGTGCTGTGCTCTCACAGCATGTTGCAGGGCATTGGGGAGATAGAGAGGGAATAATAGGGGGGGGGAACCTTACCGCACACTTGAGCGATGTTGCGTGAGCTTCTCTCTCTCTCGTTTCAGACCGTCTGCACAGGGACCTGGGACTAATGGAGGGATACAATGATGTTGCTCTTCGCTTGTCATGCTTGAATCACAGCTTCATATATCCTTTTGTGTCGGAGACCTCATTGTCTTCGTCTGTCACTGCCGCCAGATCAACTGTGGGGTAGTGTGGCGGACAGAGCCCCCTCCTCAACCCCCCTCTCCCTTGTCTGTGCCCCTGGCTTCTCATCACTCCCGGCTCGCTCGTGTCTATTTACCTGTCTCGAGCCCTCCCCTCTCTGTTGAGCTCCGTCTTTCTTGCTCTCCTGCTCCCCACTGCTTACTATCTCCCTCTCTTTGCTCCTTCAAAGAGGGCAGTCTGCCGTTCCATCCAAGCAGCTTGTTACATGACCTCCCGGAAAACAGTTTTTGCCGCTGCTCTGCCTCCTCACAGTTCCTGAGCCCTTCCAGATTTCCATCTCTACAACGGCAGGATGTTCCTTCGCGAGGATTGATCCCCATCAACCCCTCTTCACTTTCCCCTTCCCCTCCCTTGTCCTGATCTCCTGCCCTCTGACCCTCACCCTCTTGTTCTCTACCCCCGCCCTCCCTCTCCTATTCACCCTTACCCCAAGCCTCTTTCCCCCTTAATTCATTTCACCCCCTCGACCATGTTGCCATGTGTCCGCTGGCTCCAACTTATCCTCATCTTGCTGTCCTCTGTCTTATGGACCCGGGGGGAAAACTGCCCAGCAAACTGCAAGTGCCCAGATCCTCACACTGTCGACTGCAGCGGCCGCGGGCTGACCCGGCTACCCAATGAGATCCCCTTGGATGTGCGCAGGCTGTTGCTGGCCGACAACTGGATACCCCGCATCCCCTCGGACTTCCTGGTTCTGTACAGCGACCTGGTCTACCTGGACCTCCGGAACAACTCCCTCTCCCACATAGAACCGGGGACTCTCAGCACCTCCTCCAGGCTGGTCTTCCTGGACCTGGGCAGCAACAACCTGACTGAAATCCCCAAGGGGACTTTTGGGGAGTCTCGGAGCCTGATCAAACTACGGCTGGGCAACAACCCGTATCTGAGCATGGTGAACGAGGATGCCTTCCTTGGCCTCACCTCTCTGAGAGAGCTGGAACTGGAGCGTAATGCACTGTCTACGCTACAGGTGGGGGCACTGAGTCAGTTGCCCTCCCTGCGGGCGGTGAGGCTAGAGGGCAATCCCTGGGTGTGCAATTGCAACTTTGCCAACCTGTTCGCATGGCTGATGGAGAACAGTCACAAGCTTCCAAACGGTAAGTAGCAGCATCTAAGAAGCATTTGCTTCCCATGTGCTTAAGCCAAATAATGCGTATCTGAGCACAACATACAACGGTATTATTACAAATCCAATACAAAAACACTGCTCCGGTCTATTTATGTTTTCCCTGTAGGAGAGGGAACCCCCCTCCCCCTCCCTTGTTCTAATTTTGTCTCTTTCTTCCTCCCCTCCCTTCTCATATGATGTGTGAGACTGACTATGTAATATGAGACAATATCACTGGTTTTAAAGTGAAAGGATGCTTTGTTTTTGAATTTGATTTATTTCAAAATACAGAGCAGGGAAATTCAAACTGCGTCATCTAAACTGGAACAAGAAACAAATCAACTCATTAATTAGGGCATCTTTGCTTGCAGTTTCTCTGGTACCACATTTCACCATGCATATAAACATTGACCTCTATCCTGCGTTGTATCGATCCATTTGCGGCTTATATTTATATAATACGTATTTATGTAATATCAGCCATTTGGTCGACGCTATAATTCAGCAATATCATCAATTATTTTCTTCCTACACCAATGGAAATCCAACCCCTTCTCCACTCTATCCATGTGAATTTTTAGGCCCATACTAAAGACTGTGATTCGGCCTGAGGGTAGAGTTAGATAACAGGGCTGAAGTTTTGGTGTGCTCAAGTGAACGTGTGCATGTTTATCTGAGGAACAACACAAGACAAAGGGGATCGCCATGTCCCTGTAGAAGTATTCTTCTGCGGGTACGATCTGCTTACATGGAGCTGATTGGTCTCAACATCACAAGCTGTTGAATTCTAAAAAGGTTGCGAGATATAAAACACAAACCCTCACATTCTCTGCAAATATTATTCATGTTGAGAATCTTAGACACCTTATTTAGCAATGTATTCACAAATCATTATAGTGTTTTTTTCCAGAGGAGACCATACATGGTTTGACTGAAGGTCAGCCATATGTATATTACCATTAGTGCCCTTACAGAAGGACAAAGACAGCACTTATCTCAAGTGCAAGCCAGCATGTGGGAGCAGAGTAAGGACACATAAACAGATTGGACAGTTCAGCCACACATGACGAGTAGCTTGTGCTGTTATCATATTCAGACCAGAGTGCAGATTTGACGTATGACGTGATTTATTGTAATCTGAGAATTTGATATGATTGTGGACATATGCCCATGGCTGTTCAAGGTGCATCAGTTTGTAAATACAGTACACAATGTTCGGGTGTTGTGTATAAAGGTGTAAAGATTAGGAGTGGGCATGTTTATATCTGACAGTGTTCCAAGGTTGTTGGGGGTGTGAGATGGTATGTACAAAGAACAGTTTTTGTCCAAAGCATGAAAAGCAGTGGAGTAAACTATTGTATTGACATTATGCAAAAGATTTTTCCAATTTGCAAATTTAAATTAAAATCTTACTCTGCGTCACAAAAGCTTTACTTCAACTCTCTTTAAAACTGTTTAGCTTTTGCTGACAACTCCAAAGCAAACTTCCTATACACATTCAGGTCATGGTGTTCTATGCCACTGATGCTGCTTCTGCTTTCCTCTACGGGCTTCCTCCATTTCCCCCGAAAGCAGACAAGTTTGGGCTTGTGAGGAAGCAAAGTTGATAAACTGGCAAGAACACCTAATTCCCCCTGGTAACGCGCTGCAAATGCATTAATCACAGGTTCTAAGTGTCGTCAAACCGTTAGGCATAATGAATTGCATCAGCAGCGCTGGCCAGGCAGACATCAACAACAAAGAAGAAGCCGAAAAGGCCTGGCCAAGCTGCTGGCGTGGCTGCCAACTGGCCCCAGCGATCACACATTCTGAAATTGAGTCAGTAATGTGTATCTCACTTCATATGCAGCTCTTATATCCCCATCAGTGGCGTTTGCTTTACGACCCCAGAGACGAGTCCACCGGCTTTGACAGAGCACACGTATTTGTATGGGACATCTGATGCAGTCTACATTAAGTCTTTTGTGTTATTGTATCATTTTCATTGGCCATTAAAAAAGGTGTCTGGAATGTACTTTGTTGTGCTAATGATGCAGGGGAATTGGATGACAAACAACATTTTAGCAAAAGGAATAGTGATTATTCTTCACTTCAAAGGGAATGAAAATTAGTTCTGTAACAGGTCAGAGAGGACAAAAACATACCAATGAACCAAAAATGATCTTTTAAAACAAGTTTTTGCGTACTATATATAGAATAGTTGCTCTATTTTTACAGTCAGGCAAAGTATGACAACAAGCTATCGACAATGGAATATGGTGCATCTCTGTTTGCTAATATTACAATCTGTCGCTGCCGGTCGACTTCTAGTTTGTAAACAAAATGATCAAAATTTAAGAAGTCCTAACCACACAACCTCTCAAATACCGGTTTTGACTCGACTCTTCCACTACTATTTTGAGCTCTGCAGGGACATTTGTGCTGTAGTGTTGCACAGGCCGCTGTTAAATAAACACAAGGTATCAGGGAGGATTAGAGCAAGTCGCATGCTACCGTTGCCTTCGTCCCCCTAAGTGCAAACTGACAAACACGGCTGGTTCACACATTCAGGCGTCGTACTGCCAGACCTCATTAACATAATGACTGAGCTCTCCATCGTGGAAAAATGCGTTGACCTATTCCCTGGAACACTGTGTTGGAAGTGGTTACAAAATAACAGATGGGCACTCATTAGTGAATGGGGTCGACTTGATAAGCTTTTCAATATGTATCGACTCCAACCAACACCATGAGTGTGGGTGCTTCAGCTTAATATCTCATTCATCATAGAGGCAATCAATCGGACAAACATGAATTACTCTTTAAAATGTACATCAGTGTGCTTTTTCCGTCCGTGTGGGTGTTGCATCCTCATGTCTGATTCATCATACAAGAAATCATTGACCGCGCCAGAAAATGACATTTTAAATATTCAGTGAATGTGTCCTCTCTGAAAGCCAAGAGATCCACTTAACTTCAAAACATAGAACAGCTGAAGCTGCTACAAACGATCCCTGTATTCCTGATAACTCCGTGCTTATTCAAATATGATTCTGGATGCGGTGCGTTTAAACTGGTGATGTCTGTTGAAAGAACATAAAAACTAAGGAAACATTGTATATAATAACTATAAACTCTAAAAGCAATTTAGAAAACGAAAGAAGTAAGAATCAAATCTTTAAAAAAACAACAACTTTTGCTGTCGTTAAATTAAACCTAAAAGACAGTAGTGTTCCAAAGCAGCATCTGATTTATGGCCTACGTCTTTCATCATTTCCTTTTAGTACTAAATACTATATTAATTTCTTCTATACTATTTGTAACAAATGTTTATTATGAATGTAGAATGGATTTGGGACACAGATTTCATTTGACCATTAAAGCCATCATCAGGACAAAGTACAGGCATTGGGAATCATCTAACCAGCTAAAACAAGGGGTGCACATAGATTTCCTCAACATAGCGTTCATCTGTCTGACGTCAGGATTTCAGAACTTTCAGTGACCAGCAGAATAATTAAACAGAATCTTAAACTAATTTAAAAAATAGTCAATAAAACACAGACAGAACTGTACTGCTATTTTAGAAGTCCTCCTGAGATACACATCCATGGTTCCCTCTGCGATGGCCTGCATATTATAGCAGCTGCAGAGCCCGTGCTGTAAACCCAATTCCCATTCCATTTTTCACTCCCTGATTTCCCCTGTGATTTCAAGTTCGCAAAGCGGCACACTCTTCTGTTTGCATGAGTTTGATTACTGCAGGTCAGCATGATGAGTGGGTGGAAAACTCTTTAAAATTCTGGACTTGTTTTTGGATAGTAAAGAAAGAACATATCTATCTACCTCTGTGCGTCAGGTATTTATTTTGAGCTGCGAAGGATCAGACAGACGTATAGGTTTTTAAACCACCAATCAGGCTCATAAATGTTTCAATTGCGGGATGAGTGTAAACATGATCCACTGCTGTCTCCAGTGCTCTTGGGTTAAGGATGAACAAAGGCCATGTATAATTCAGAGAGACACAGTTCTGCGGCACACTGGCCGGGGTAATTGGAGCCAGACCTGCCTACAGGGCAAGGCAGGCCAACTCCCATGAGAGACTCAGACTGAAGCCCAGCTTGGCATTTCCATCAACACTTGCCATGACCTGCACAGTGTCACTACAACGTGGCAGTTCATGTGACGGGGTCAAAGTCAGATTTTTTTTTTTTACCCTTGCAGCCTATCGAGTTTCTCCCCAGAGACCTGTTAGCGCACAGCAGGGGCGCCTCTGAAAATACAAGCAGCACTACATGTCACACAGGTGATGCCACGCAGCCCCACGCAATATTACTTGCTCTATCTTTACGAGTGCGTGATGAGAAACTCTGTTTCATTAACACAGGCTGACGGCTTATTTTATCTTGACCTAATTTGATGCTTATTTAAAGTTGGGATGAGAGAGAGAGAGCGAGAGCTGGCAAGGTTGAGTAGAGTGTGGATAGGTGGACGGAATTACACAGTGTGATAGCATCAGCTGCTGCGTGCACAGAAGCAGAGAGGGATAATCTGTCTGTCAGAAATAAAAGGTGAAAAGCCAATAAGGTTTATTTCACAGGCAGTGTGCAGCGTCGTGTATGATGGATACTCTCCTCTCTGCCAGTGTGTAGTCGAGTGCGAGGCCCAACTTGCTTAGACATGCATATTTAGCACTTTCATCATAATGAATTGTTAAGTGTTTTTTATTGATTAAAAATGTGAAATATACACCTATTCACGTTTTAACATGTCTCTCTCATGTTTGGGAATTAGCTCATATGTGTGAATTTGTTGCTTTGGTGATGAGACGTTCTGAGCATGCCCACATGGTGCGTGGATGTCAGTGAGTCTCCACACAGAAGGAATTCCCTCCTGAATGATTCACCCTCGCCTCACTGTCACACGGATGCTTGTCATTCTGTGCATTCGCAACACACATTCTGTTCCTCTCCGACTCCTACTCTTGCCCTCTTCTTGTATGAATCTCAC